CAAGGAGCAACACTCAACTTGCCCGCAGTCCGTCTGGGACGCCACCACTGTGGACATACACCATGAAGCCAAGGTGCCCAACACATGGTGGGCTGCTGAGGATACGCAGCCATGCGTCCACAACTTCCACGCTCCGCAAAGCTACGCCCAGCCAGCAGCCAGCAACCACTGAACTTCGTTTCATCAACACGCAAATGTGTGCTCAAGTTGCTGTTCTTTCTGCAACGGCAACAGTATAAGTAGCAACAACGTACCTTTCGGAGACCCACACAGCAGGGTTGCCCGCTTGTGCCAGCCATCGAAGTACGCCTGACACAGCCTGACACGCTTTCCTCGAAAACCACAAACATCCATAAACCGCAATCTCTTTGGCATGCTGCCTCCATGGTTTGCCCTTGTGGACAACAAGCTGCCCACAGGGCTAGGAATATGGAGCCAGCACGGTGCAAGGAGCAACACTCAACTTGCCCGCAGTCCGTCTGGGACGCCACCACTGTGGACATACACCATGAAGCCAAGGTGCCCAACACATGGTGGGCTGCTGAGGATACGCAGCCATGCGTCCACAACTTCCACGCTCCGCAAAGCTACGCCCAGCCAGCAGCCAGCAACCACTGAACTTCGTTTCATCAACACGCAAATGTGTGCTCAAGTTGCTGTTCTTTCTGCAACGGCAAAAGTATAAGTAGCAACAACGTACCTTTCGGAGACCCACACAGCAGGGTTGCCCGCTTGTGCCAGCCATCGAAGTACGCCTGACACAGCCTGACACGCTTTCCTCGAAAACAACAAACATCCATAAACCACAATATCTTTGGCATGCTGCCTCCATGGTTTGCCCTTGTGGACAACAAGCTGCCCACAGGGCTAGGAATATGGAGCCAGCACGGTGCAAGGAGCAACACTCAACTTGCCCGCAGTCCGTCTGGGACGCCACCACTGTGGACATACACCATGAAGCCAAGGTGCCCAACACATGGTGGGCTGCTGAGGATACGCAGCCATACGTCCACAACTTCCACGCTCCGCAAAGCTACGCCCAGCCAGCAGCCGGCAACCACTTAACTTCGCTCCATCAACACGCAAATGTCTGCTCAAGTGATGTTATTTCTGCAACGGCAAAACTATAAGTAGCAACAACGGAAGTCTCGAAGACTCACACAGCAGCCTTGCTCGCTTGTGCCACTCATTGACATTCAAAGAAATTGCGCCTTACACAATTACGCCTGACACAGCCTGACGCGCTTTCCCGAAAACCACAAACATCCACAAACCACGATCTCTGCGTCATGTTGCCTCCATGGTTTGCCCTTGTGGACAACAAGCTGCCCACAGGGCTAGGAATATGGAGCCAGCACGGTGCAAGGAGCAACACTCAACTTGCCCGCAGTCCGTCTGGGACGCCACCACTGTGGACAAACACCATAAAGCCAAGGTGCCCAACACATGGTGGGCTGCTGAGGATACGCAGCCATGCGTCCACAACTTCCACGCTCCGCAAAGCTATGCCCAGCCAGCAGCCACTAACCAATTAACCTCGCTTCATCAACGACTCACACAGCAGCCTTGCTCGCTTGTGCCAGCCATCGACATTCAAACAAACTGCACCTCACACAATCACGCCTGACACAGCCTGACACGATTTCCCCGAAAAAACACAAACATCCATAAACCACAATCTCTTCGTCATGATACCTCCATGGTTTGCCCTTGTGGACAACAAGCTGCCCACAGGGCTAGGAATATGGAGCCAGCACGGTGCAAGGAGCAACACTCAACTTGCCCGCAGTCCGTCTGGGACGCCACATCTGTGGACATACACCATGAAGCCAAGGTGCCCAACACATGGTGGGCTGCTGAGGATACGCAGCCATGCGTCCACAACTTCCACGCTCCGCAAAGCTACGCCCAGCCAGCAGCCAGCAACCACTTCACTTCGCTCCATCAACGCGGCTCAAGTGTTGTTCTTTCTGCAACAGCAAAAGCATAAGTAACAACAGCCTTGCTAGCTTCTGCCAGCAATCGACATTCAAAGAAACTGCACCTCACGCAACTACGCCTGACACAGCCTGACAGGCTAACCACAAACATCCATAAACCACAATCCCTTCGTCATGATGCTTTCATGGTTTGCCCTTGTGGACAACAAGCTGCCCTCAGGGCTAGGAATATGGAGCCAGCACGGTGCAAGGAGCAACACTCAACTTGCCCGCAGTCCGTCTGGGACGCCACCACTGTGGACATACACCATGAAGCCAAGGTGCCCAACACATGGTGGGCTGCTGAGGATACGCAGCCATGCGTCCACAACTTCCACGCTCCGCAAAGCTACGCCCACCATCAACACGCAAATGTCTGCTCAAGTGATGTTCTTATTCTTTCTGCAACGGCAAAACTATAAGTAGCAACAACGTAAGTCTCGAAGACTCACACGGCAGCCTTGCTCGCTTGTGCCACTCATTGACATTCAAAGAAATTGCCCCTTACACAATTACGCCTGCCACTGCCTGACACGCTTTCCCCGAAAACCACAAACATCCACAAACCACAATCTCTGAGCTGTGTTGCCTCCATGGTTTGCCCTTGTGGACAACAAGCTGCCCACAGGGCTAGGAATATGGAGCCAGCACGGTGCAAGGAGCAACACTCAACTTGCCCGCAGTCCGTCTGGGACGCCACCACTGTGGACATACACCATGAAGCCAAGGTGCCCAACACATGGTGGGCTGCTGAGGATACGCAGCCATGCGTCCACAACTTCCACGCTCCGCAAAGCTACGCTCAGCCAGCAGCCAGTGACCACTTAACTTCACTCCATCAGCACACAAAAAGCATAAGTAACAACAACGTAAGTCTCGGAGACTCACACATCAGCCTTGCTCGTTTGTGCCAGCCATCGACACTCAAAGAAACTGCACCTCACACAGTTATGAATGACACAGTCTACAAACGCTTCCCCCAACGAACCTAAACATCCATGAACCACAATCTCTTCGGAATGATGCCTCCATGGTTTGCCCTTGTGGACAACAAGCTGCCCACAGGGCTAGGAATATGGAGTCAGCACGGTGCAAGGAGCAACACTCAACTTGCCCGCAGTCCGTCTGGGACGCCACCACTGTGGACATACACCATGAAGCCAAGGTGCCCAACACATGGTGGGCTGCTGAGGATACGCAGCCATGCGTCCACAACTTCCACACTCCGCAAAGCTACGCCCAGCCAGCAGCCACTAACCACTTAACTTCGCTCCATCAACAGGCAAATGTCTGCTCAAGTGATCTTCTTTCTGCAACGGCAAAAATATAAGTGGCAACAACAACATAAGTCTCGGAGACTCACACAGCAACTTTGCTCGCTTGTGCCAGCCATCGACATTCAAAGAAATTGCGCTTCACACAATTACGCCTGACACAGCCTGACACGCTTTCCCCGAAAACCACAAACATCCATAAACCACAATCTCTTCGGCATGATGCCTCCATGGTTTGCCCTTGTGGACAACAAGCTGCCCACAGGGCTAGGAATATGGAGCCAGCACGGTGCAAGGAGCAACACTCAACTTGCCCGCAGTCCGTCTGGGACGCCACCACTGTGGACATACACCATGAAGCCAAGGTGCCCAACACATGGTGGGCTGCTGAGGATACGCAGCCATGCGTCCACAACTTCCACGCTCCGCAAAGCTACGCTCAGCCAGCAGCCAGTGACCACTTAACACACGCAAATGTTTGCTCAAGTTGTGGCTCTTTGTGCAAGAATAGCCTTGCTCGCTTGTGCCAGCCATCGACATTCAAAGAATTGCACCTCACACAATTACGCCTGACACGGCCTGACACGCTTTCCCGAAATCCCACAAACATCCATAAACCACAATCTCTTCGGCATGATGCCTCCATGGTTTGCCCTTGTGGACAACAAGCTGCCCACAGGGCTAGAAATATGGAGCCAGCACGGTGCAAGGAGCAACACTCAACTTGCCCGCAGTCCGTCTGGGACGCCACCACTGTGGACATACACCATGAAGCCAAGGTGCCCAACACATGGCGGGCTGCTGAGGATACGCAGCCATGCGTCCACAACTTCCATGCTCAAACCTACACACATAAACAGCCAGCAGCCAGTGTCCAATGCACTTGGTTCTCCCCAAAGCTGCCCACTGCCAGTAGCCAATCAAGAGCAGCCTGCCGCAAAGCAGTACATGTTGCCCTGAAAAGGATCGCCCCTTCTTCCATCTTTGGGTAGGCCGCTGCTCGATTGCTTGCTGCGGGCCTTCTGCGGCGGGCCTTCAGCCATGCCAGTCCTACCACCTCTGCAAGGCTTCAAGCACCACAAGCTCCCTGTCCAATGGGTTCTTGAATGGACAACCACCGTGCAAGAAGCCAACTGAGGCTCCCTGGCGCCCACCAGAGGAGGAAACGAGCTGTCCTGGAGGTTTGCCCTCATTTTGAGGGATAGCGGATGTTCCATGTCCTCGATAGCCCCGACACCGAACCTAAGCTAAAATGCCCGCTGAAGGCAGAGAGTTCCTGTCTGAAAGCTATTTCAACACATTCAAGACAAGAATTCCATTTGAGCTCAAAAAAATGCCTGACTTACACCTAAATCTAATACTTGCAACTAATGGGCGGAAACTGCAACATGTACCGTTCTCTCACAGCAAAACAGATTCCGTAACCGATAAACACTGACTACGACCGGCTTTTGGAAAGCTTGAAAAAGAAGCCTGCCCAGCCTTGTTAGCTGGTTCTCCAACACCTCTTTGGCACCCTTTTGAAGAGCGAACCCAACTCAGCAAACACGTGAACCAACCCCTCGAAGTCTGGCGGTTGTCACAGCAGATGCCCCAACTCCCCCTTCTTGCTACGCAGCCGGACAAACTGGAATCACATGCTTCCCTTTGTCTCGCATCTGCCTTGTTCGATCCATTTCTCATTTTTCCACTGCCCTGCAACGGCTGGGGCGCCAGCCCAAGAGTGCACTACGTGCCGACAACCGGTCTAGCGGCTCAGCACCTCGCAGTTGTAGCAGCCGGGCACATCTTGGGCACCGAAGCTCTGAGCCATCTGCATCAGCTTCGGGGAGCTTCCGCGACACCTGATCTGCACCCAGCAGTCCTCGTGGCTGAAGTGCTTCACCTTGCACACGCTCGGCGGGCCCCGCTCCTCAACGCGGCCAATCCAAATCCGACATTCGTGTTCTCAGGATGGTATGGCGATGGGAGGGGTTTCCCTAGGGGATGACAGCGCTTGCTACTCATTATCATTCAGATGATCTCACAACCGGACGCTTGCCTTGACGCGAGAAACGATCTCCACAGGAAAAAGAGGCTCCCCAAAACGGCTCTCTGTTCCAAAGAACTGGAAACCTATGACACCCTGGTTTCCGATTCGATTCCCCACGTGAGTACCAGTTTCATTCCTGGGTTTCGCAACCTTCCACTGCACGTCTTCTCCTTGTAGGGCATCTTACACATGGTCACCTCCTGCGCCGCCTCCGTCTCCGGCTCCGGCTCGGGCGCTGCAGTCGTCAGACGCTCTGTGGCCGGCGGACCGGCCGGCACGTGGGAGTGGACCTGCACGGTGCGGCATGGGCGCTGGGGATGACCGAATCGAACCAAGCACGGCAGGCCATGGCTTCACTGTTTACCCCAAATTGGGAGAAGGGGGCCACGCTCAGTTGGGCAGTGTTCTCCCACCTCACCGAGTGCCCTCCCGGCACTATGGGTGAGGGAGAATCGACATAACTGTGGGTCCAGATGAGTCAGCCCATCTGGTCAAGTGTTGAAGTCACGTTTGACCGGTGAGGGACCCAGCATTACTTGACTGTCATGCAGGGTCAGCACAAGCTCCATCAAGATAGCCGCATGGGCCATCTTGCGAGAGGAGTCGTTCAAAAGTGAATGTTCTTGCCGGCGTACATGGGGGGAGTACATGGCTACAAAGAACATGGGGGGGGGGGGGCAAAAGATTTCAAGAAGCACAGGGATCAGAAGTTCCATCTGAGCCAAAATGCTGGCCAAGTGGAACACTTATGCGGAGTTGAGACAAGCGCACATCTACAGCTACACTGTAGCCCAGGCTTACACGCCAGAAACTGATGGACTTTGGGGAAGTGCTGACGCTGTTTCTCGATGTGCAAGTTCAACCGGAACAAGCAGGAACGAAATGGCAAGAGTTATGCCAAACACGCTCGCTTGCAATCTGGCTTGCGTGAACCGGCCAGAACAGGCTTCGGCCTTTATTGTCGACCCCGGATGAATCAACCCGAGCTTATTGATATGGGGGGGGGGTTTGGCCCCTCTCCAGTGGACTGAATCCCCCACATGTCACCCAGAATCGGAAAAGCACTCGGCTATCAACAAATGGTAGGGGTAAAAATTCATCCGGGGTCAACGTTACGTGTGCGTCATAATCAAAACCCGGCTCAAAAATAGTCAACACACAACAAGGCGGCCGCAACCATTTCTGGTTGGGATCGTCTACTAACCTCCACTTACCCGGGTTTTCATTATGACTCATGTGAAAGTTCGCCAGCTCGACCAGTGGATCTCCGTCCGGCTTGCGCACCTCCGGCTCGTGCACAGCCGGCGCAGCCGGCAGGTCTGCCAGCCAAGCGCTGGACAGCAAGGCGCGGGGGTCAGCACGCTGCTCCTGACACATCAGCTTCCCTCGAACTGGTTTGGAGCCCGGATTAGTCAACCCCTGTTGGTTTTTAGGCGGGTGTTCCCCTCCAAAACGAAATCCTCACTAAAACCAGGGACACCCCCATAGTAATAAAGAGGGGGTCAACATCATTCAATGGTTTGGAGCCCGGTGGTTTGGTGGTTCAGGAAGGGAACCACCCATCTACCCTCAAGAACCAGGGCTTCAACTCCCCGAGCCAAACCAGCCAGGGCTTGCCTGAACAAAGGCATCTCGTCAGCCAAAACAACTCGGTCGCCCTCACGCAAATTCGTCAGTCCGTGATTCCTCCTGTGCAGGAAAACGGCAGCTAACTTGGCGGCTTCTTCAGACATGGAATGACTGAAAAGAATGGCAATGTTGACGTTGTATTTAAAAATCCCCCCCATATTAGTCCGGTCCGGGTGACACCCCCAATACTAAACAATTCATAACTCAGAAATTACCCCCAAAAAAATGGATCCAAAAAAATCCAATTAAACCGGTCCCTCCCCCACATAGCTGCTGCTCAATGGAAACCTCATCAAGTTTCATGGAATTCCATTGGGGCGGCCATGCAAACCTGATGGGAAAGTCACTCAATCTCAATAGAAACCTCATCAAATTTCATGGAATCCCATTGGGGTGGCCATGCAAACCTGACAGATCTCAAAAGGAAGCTCCAGCAATGCTAAATCAAATGGAAACTCAATTCCAGATCTCAAAAGGAAGCTCCAGCAATACTAAATCAAATGGAAACTCAATTCCAGATCTCAAAAGGAAGCTCCAGCAATACTAAATCAAATGGAAACTCAATTCCAGATTATTTAGGGGGTGGAGGCAGAAAAACCTTCCAAACTCTTGCCCCCCCAAACCTTTCTGACCTTCAACGGGGGGTGGGGGTACGGACTAATATGGGGTCAACATTACCCAAGGATTGCAAAATGGTCTACCTGCGACCCGCCACCCCTTCAGCAGCCCAACCCCAAGCACTCGCTCTGCGAGTTTCTCAGGGCCATGTCCAAAACCTTTGGAATCGCAACGCGAAGAATGCCCGAGCCATTGGCACCTTCGAGTGGTACTGAGCAAGAGGAGTTTCTTGCTGTTGGGCTGTCCCATACTTAGGGGGGGGTTCCCTCCAAAAGTGGCCCGAATCCCTACTAAAAGGGGACACCCCCCGATCAAAATCAACCAGGGGTTTAAGTTTAGGAATCTGGGCTGCCCTCATTACGCGCCTCCCTCCACTGGAGCAAGGATTGCAACAGGGCCATGGCCGACTCAGAGTTGTAGAGCCAGGAACTCCGTAGCAGCTGGGTGTTGCCGATGCCGTTCTCCACCTGAACAAAGTGGCCATGGGTCAAAATCCGAATCGTACCCTCAGCGAACATCCGATTCAATCCAACCACTAAAAAAGGTTCTAAAATGGGTGGTACACCTACCAACCAAAATGGTACCATTGGTTCTGACCCACAGCCAAGTGAAGCCAACGTCCCTTCGAACAAATGAGCGAGACATTTGGAGAAGGTGGGGAATGAGCAAACGGGCCCCAAACCTGCCAAATGCAGATATCAGTCGCAGAAGCAACTGGGAACGATGGCAACTGGGCCCCAAATCAGCCAAATGAAGAAAGAAGTCAAAAGAAGCAAATGGCTGCCCGCATGCAAAAACATATTTGTGCGTGCTTTCGGGAAGATGACACGAGGGCCAACCAAAGGCGTGCAAAAACAGATCAGTGCGGGCGTAGAATTTGGGATGGAAGTTGGATGAGGTGGCACGACCAAAGCTCAGTGCATCAGGCTCAATTCACGCAAGCCTGAAGCCTCAAAGCAAGTTCATGCGGAAGAGGCGCCGCGCTGGCGTAGGCAAAGTGCCGATGGTTTTGCAGGTAGTACAGGGATCGGCCCACCACTTCCTTCACGGCCGCCTTGACCGCGATCTTGCCGGTGGCCAGGTCGCGCTTGGGGAACCAAATGCCCGCATCGCCCTTGGCACAGGCCTTCCTATCCTGCAGGATGTACAAGATACCCTTCTCCTTCCTTGGCTTTGCGCGAGGCTTCCCCCTGCCTGAAAAAGGGCTGGCTACACACGAACTACCCTCCCAGCGAACATGAAAGTGCGCAGACCCCTGTTGAAAGACTACTTTCCTCGTGGAACAGGCCTTTTTGCACTTCCATGTTAGTTAGTGGGAGGGTACTCATGCGGGCAACAGATGTAACGATCCCGCCGTTGCGCTTCATTTGGGGCATGCAGTTCACGACTAGACAATGCTCTTCGCTGACGCGGCCAGCATCACGTGGCGCCAGGCACAAAGTGTCACCCCAAACGGACATAAAGAAATCGGCAGGTCTGGCAAATCCTCCAGACCCAAGTTTGTTGCATTTAACTTCAAGCAGCACTTTCTGCCAAACTGATTTAGGAGGTGCGTTTTGAAGGGAACCGAACCCCTTTTCAATTGGTTTAGGGGAAGAAAAGGGAAACAACCCACGGGGGTTTCCCTGACACCCATGTGAGCGTCTGCAGGTTGCCCTCCTTCTCCGAGAAGTAGTCGTAGTCTGGGTTGAAGAAGGGCGGCACGCCGGTTCCGATCTCCGCGAGCATCATGCCCACCGCAAAGTCGTCGAAGGTGCGCGCGCCCACCGGGTTGCTGCGGACGTCCACCTGAATAGGTTTCGATTTGGCGTCCATCAAACAAAAAACCGGCGGTATCGATTTTGGGACGTTCCCGCCTTGCTGGCAAGGTTGTAGTACATGTTGGCATCCGACCCTGGGTGCAGCGGCAACTCAAAGCCAGACATTCTGAAAGACGGCTCGTTGAGGAATCTGCGTCAGGACCCGTTTCTGCCGTTGCACGTGACTTTTCAGAACAAAACGAAAAAAATACGCCCAGGCGAGAGGTGGAATACGCCAAGGCAACAGAAAGACCTGTTTCCTCGGCCAATCTTGAGTCTTCAGCCTGCGCTCCTGGATCCATGTCCTGCAGCACCATAGCAAGGCCAAAGTCGATGATCTTCAGGACACCCCCTTCCGAGAGAGGCCTGGAGAGCATCACCTGGTGAGCTGAAAGCAATCTGTCGGCTTACAGTGACATCCAAAGCAAGCCCAAGCAAGGCAAGCAACAAAGAAGTAAAGAATCCAACGACCATGGACACCCTAAGAACCACCGCCAAAAACAGCGCCAAAAAACCTCCGAGCCGCGTTGTCCGGCTTCAGATCCTTGTGGGACACTCCGCACTGCGCGAGCCACTGCACCCCCGCGGCGAGCTGCGAGAAGATCTCCTTGGCGGCCCGCTCGTCGGTGATCAGCGCCTGCGCTCGGACCCCGCGGAAAGATTCGGGGGGGCCCCCCGACCCCCCGAAGGTGCTAGGAGGGTGAGGGTTCAGCAAGGTGCTGAAGACCACAACCAGCGGCAGAGATACAAAAAGATGTCCTTTCCAAGCAATCCGTTTCGAGGTTTGATGGGATGCTCAGTGGGAAGGGTCCTGATTCCTGATCATGATCTGATTGTGTTAGAAAGCGCAGCTCGCGTTGACGAAAGAGAGACCTTTGGGTTGCACACAAGCCAACGAGACAAACACTCTGATGGATTGCCAAATGGGCAACAAATTATTCTTGCTGAAATACGTGAAAAGAGCTCAAGTCCTCAACCAACTTTGCAACCAGCTCATATGGGTGTCGGTCGGTCAAACCCGGATACCCTTTGTTTATTCACCGTCTTTCTAGTTGATCCGGTTTAAAAGGAATCTGCAGGATGATAGGGGGAGTACCAGGTTTTTGACCAGTCAAAAACCAAAGACTCCTTGTGTCAAAGTCTCTGCCTTAACTTCAAGGCACCTTCACCTTAGCGATACCTTTCGCCCTTGTGGTTGCAGAAATCAAGGACCAACTTCGGAAGCAACGTTGCTGGCCCTCCCAATTGGCGAGTCAATATGTATCACGGACCTTTTGGTCAACCCCCATTCGAGCCTTCATCTACAGCGGAAGAGCACTTGCCTGAAAAGGTGATTTCTATTTGTTGGTTTTCTCTTAACCAAAAATAGTATTGCAAGGCGTCTTCTTTGGTCAACGTAGCCAATTTGTTTTTGAGAATTGCGGGCGGGATGACCATTAGTTGGAAAACCCCCAAAAAAGATGATGATATGTGTCCCATATGGGAAAAGTTGCCCATGGTCAAAGGGGGTCCCTTTTCTGGAATATTGATCAGCCCCCTTTTCCGCTTCCTCCTCTTATTCCTCTTATGTGTCTTCTTGCTGGGGGCGAGAAGTGAGGTGGGTGTGAACTTTAACCAGGGACCCTTTGGTGGACATCATTTCGCTGAGGATTTATGTCCACCAGCCACTTTTGAGGTGGCTCCCGAATGAATTCAGAGCCATGGCCTGTCTTTTTGGAGGGGACTGTGCCAAGAGCGAAACGAAGGCTCGAACCCTCGGGGACGAGGCGCATCGCCCTCCGCGGTGCGCTTGCCCCGCAGCGCCCCCTCTGCGGAGACGCCATCATAGAGCAGGTCGGACAAGGCGCCCCCGCTGGCGAGCTCCATGATCACCACGCCTTCCCCAAAGAAACCGAAAAGAATCGCGGCCTGGAGCAGGCAATCAAATTTGGGGTGTCCGCTTTGCCAGGCCACCCCGTTTTTGGGCTGAGTTTTAAAGGAACACCAAGAGGCAAGCCGAATCCACGCTGGGGTCGGAAAAGTGAGAAAGGGACACACCCACATCTTTCTTCCCAGGTGACTCCACGAGTTGTTGATGTCTCAGCGAACGTCAAACCGATGGCAACTAAGGGCGTCCACCAATCGCATGGAGAGAGAGGGGGGAGGCAGAGATAGAATGTGTACTACGGGAGAGAGGGAGAGGGGGATGCAGGGAGGGAGGGGAGGGAATACTGAACACTAAGATGATATGTGAATTGGAACCAAGCGCCATTCGTAGGGAAAAAATGAAAGTACCAATGCGAAAAACGCGTGATACGGCACAAAGGCAAACCCGGGTGAAACCATGTGAAGCCACTTGCAGGCAGGTGGAACAAAACACAACAAACCCAAATCCCGGCAAAAACCCAGCTCAACTGAATCCTGAACTCCCTCGTAGCCCCCAGCCCCCAAGCCCCCTCCTTGTCGCGAGGAGAGCTTCAAAACTTCGAAGTGGCGGATGATGTTGGGATGCGGATACCCCGCACAGCTCTGCATGTGCTGCCACACCTGCGCACAGGGCCCAAGTCGGGCCAAGCTCCCTGCTTCCCGGAGAAAGCGGCGCATCTCTCGAGGGTCCGTTTGTGGCGCGCAGGTGAGCGCCGATCTCGGCCGCTTTTGCGAGAAGAAACTTGGAAGATTCGAGGCTCAGAGGAACTCTCGGCCTTTGGCATAGCTGAGTAAATGGTTGAACATTGGTACCGCTCGAAATGCCGCCGCCAAGCGACGGGTTCCCAGGACTTCCAACCACTCAGCAGCCTCACTCTCCAACTCTCAAACCGCATCCCGGGCACATGGCGCTCGGTGTGGAAGGAGAACTGGGACTCGGGGGTGGCGATGTCAATGATCTTCGCAACCACCCGCCTGACACGGACCATCGCCCAAAACCGAAACCTCGGCCCTGTGCAAGGCTCGGAGCTCTAGCCAAAAAAGGGAGCCAGTCTCTGGTCGCTTGGCCCAAGATTAGCACACCACCACTCAAAGGTAGTACTCCAAAACAAGTCAGACAAGGTCGACCCCTCCAGACTTCCCGCGGGCTTCTTGGGGTTGTCATGGCCTTCGTTGCTCCAACCCTGCTGCTCAACGCGAGAAGGTCACGACGAAAGGACACCGTTTTCGGGGGTCCGACGAAAGGAAAAAACGCAAATCCCAGCAAGGAAAGCAGAAGAACCCCTCCCCCCCCGGTGCTTCTGCGTCTGCGTCATTGCGAGAGGAAAATTGGGGAGTGTTTCACTCTAGCTCTTGTGATGCCTGCAGACTGTGGGCCACCCACTGATGGATTTGAGAAGAAAATGGGCGGCTCCTCATGAATGAACGCCATTCTGGCTGTTGATGATCGCATCATATGGCTGTGAGTAAAAAATAGAAATGGGTTGCCCTGGTAAGAGGAAACATGGACCAACATCTGCAGTCCATTTCCTGGTGGTTTCATGTTGACCCGTACCCATATTCGAAAGTGAGGAGCCAAAATGTCAGCAAAGGGAGGAGCCAACAAATTTCAGACGCGGGATACCTTGGCCCAAGGCGGGATACATCACCCCACCCACACCACGGAGGAAGCTGATTGGGGACTTTGAGTCAAGTGCGGCCCGACATGCCGCCGTGCTTCCTCCACTCACCCGTGTTTGTTTTCCGAAAAAAAGAATATCGGCCCATTGAAAAGTCCTTGGTTGATTCACATGGGATGTTCCATTTGAAAAGATCCTTCACTTTCGCCAATCCTCCAGAAGAAGGGGGGAAAAAAAAATCGAGGCGTGGCTTCAACCAAAACGACTGGCCTGCCAGAGTCTCGCTCGGTGGCCAGGTACACGACTCCATAGGCGCCTGAGCCCAGCTTCCTGCCAAGCTCATAGCTGCCATACTCGCCTCGAGAAAAAAACCCTGGTCGCCATGCGGAGCTGGGGAAAAAACCCAGGCGTGGTGGTCAAAAATAGTTGGTAACCCCCAAATGGATCTCTGGTATATGGAAACATGGACTCAAACCAGCGGTCCATTTCCTGGTGGCTGAATTTTGACCCATCCCCAAATGGCTGGAGATGTGCGACATGATCAACTCGGGTCCTTCTAGAAACCCTGCTACAAAAGGACAGCACTGGCAGAGGGGGGCATCGCACCTACCTCGGAATGTGCCCTTGGCGTGCAAAATGGAAGGGACCCGCCCCATGTGAACGGAGTGATTTGCTCTGCTGGAGTAAGGATGGGTTGAAACAAGCACCAGGCCAGCACCACTTGACTCACATCCACGGAAGTTCCAGTCCCGCAATAGAATCCATCAAAATTGCCTCTACATAAGCTTTCATTTGCTTAAGACCCCTGGAAAAAAATAAATAAATAAATATATATATATATATATGTCCAGTAGTCATAGATTCCCTTTACAACCAACAGGGGAAAGTAAGACATATTCTTAAGCAAATGGAAGTAAGTTGGAAGCTAACACGAAGTGTCTCTAAGGACAAACTGCTTCGCCGCGATGTGCGGACATACAACTGCCTTGCCTGTAAAACCATCAAGATCGACGCACTGCTCCAAGGCCGTGAAAGCATACCAAGTACAAACCGCCCCTCCCCTTCGAACATTGGTTGAAAAGGCAGCGGACTCCGAAAGAACGCAAGCTATTTTGCTTTGTTGGCTGGCAAGCTTCCGTTGCCAGACAGTAGGACTTTGACTGGAAGCACCCATCAATCTCCACTCGGTCCTGCCTCGAATGACATCCCTCGTCGCCTGCGCGTTCTCCAAGTTTTGTCGGATGGCGCTGGCGGCCACAAGCAGAGCCGCCGCCGAGAAGCCGCGGCGCATCATGGATCCAAGTTGGCAAACCACTGGTCTGAGCTGGGAGGCTTTGCGGAGCTGCAAGGAGAGCTCACCATAGGTGGCCTTTGGGGAAAAAGAGATGGCCCTGGTAGATGGAATAAGATCCATCTAAACCACCGTCGATCTTGGAGGTAAACCAAAAAAAAAAACTATGGAGCTCAGGCCCGTTGTCCTTTTTGAGCATCTCCAACATGGATTCGATCTGGGGATGCCCAAGGGGTGGTTTCGTGGTGGAGTCGTTTCCCAGTTCTGCAAGAGCCAGGGACCTCTTCAAATTCCGAATCCAAACCGCCGGAGTCGGAGACCGCCCCCATTTTGGGGGCCTGACCAAATGCGGTGAGGTGTCCAACTTCCAAGTGGGTCACTTGCTCAAAACCGAATCGGTATTAAAATGGTCGACCCAGAACCACGTAAAGAATTAAGAAGGCGGAGATCCGCAGCGAGTTTCATGGTTGAGATTGTCCCTTACTAACCTTCACTTACCCGGATTTTCATTGTTGCTCAGATGACCAAAGGGGTGACAACGGCTCCAAGGGAGATCGACCTGAAGCGATCGACTCCCCGGTCCTGCGACGCCTGGCGCACACCTCAGAAGCGTTTGGAAATCCGCCTTTGGTTTCCTCCAAGCGGGGAAACCGAAAGGAGACGGCAATTCTGTAGATGCTTCTTCTTGCGAAGCCTGCAGTGCTTCTTTTTCTGGGCGATCAATCTAAGCTCATGGATAAGATGATTGAAGCCCACTCTATGCACTTACTGAGGGTAATGCTTGAAGCACGACCCTTCGTTGAATGATGATTCCCAAAAAAGACAAGGCTGCTGCTGAAACGGCCGGCAGCTTTAAAGCTCTGTGCCCTTCCAAGCTGAGGATTCTGTCTTGGAAAGAAGCTCTGTGGGATGCTGCCTATTGCGATTCAAAAAGGCTAGATGGTGGTTCGGACCCCAAACTCGCGAATGGATGCGCATGCTTCAATAAAAGTCCCTTTGATCGATTTCCGGAAACCCCGCCCATCAGAGAGAGTCTCAGTTTCTTGCCGCCTTGCCGCATGCCCCGAGATCCTCGCCTTCGCTTCCCCCTGTGAAGAGCCCGGGCTCCCGGTTTCGAAGAGTTAAGACAGACGACCTTGAGAGGAACGAGGAAACAGAGCCAGGACGAAGTCAAGAAAGTTGTCCCCGGGGGGGGGGGAAAAAAAAACGGTGCAACAGAGCTCAGAGCTCAAAAAGGGCATGACTTTCAGATGCAGCAAGTTCACACATAGAATAGCGAATGCCAATCCTGACTGCAAAACCTCTCATTGATTCATGATGCAGCCAGTCCACCTACATCAACTGAGGTTTCCTTACAGAAAACATGGCTTCAGCATGTCATTATTGGAGGAAGGCTGCGGACCATCAGAGCATGACTGTAAGGGCAGCCCTACAGTCATGGAATCTGTTGATCTTCCGAGAACATGCACGCAAAAAGCAAACTTTATCCGGCATGTTGGGGCCTGGATGCAAGAAAGCCCCAACATGCCTCGCACTAATCCATCAGTTGGTCTCCAGAGTTTTTTGATTCGGTGCAGTTGAGGCCAAACATGCAAGCACCGGCATTCCATCATTTGAGCATGGCATGGTGCAAAGACATGCTACATGGCCATGGGTCAAAATCCCGGTCACCCCCCAGTGAACGTCCCAATCCCCACTAAAATAGGTTCTAAAATGGGTGGTGAATTCACCTACCAACCAAAATGGGATCCCATTAGTCTTGACCGACAGTAGTTCCATGTTGAAAGCTTGTGCTGATTTGGGGGCCAGTGGCCCCCATGTGCCTCCCACATGCCGTTGCCTGAAACCCAAAGTCTCAGGCGTCACCCTACAACTCAAGCGCAAACAAATGGCTGTGGCTCAAAAAGGTGATACCCGTTTTCGGGCTTTTAAGGAAACAAAGACCAAAACCTGCGTAACCCCAGCTCTTCAATTTTGAGCCACACCCAAATGAATGGCTGAGCCAAGTGTGGAAATTGCAACGTGATACTGGACAAAGCACAACAACTACCAGCCTGAAACAAGACATCCAGGACTCACGAGTGAACCCTACGACTTTTGTAAAACTGGAAATGTGTTTCGCTCTTACAGCGGCCTTGGTTCCCTGTTCCATGGATCCTTTGGCCCGCAAACGCCGATGGGTAGCTTCCCCCGTGGAACATCTCACTTTTTTCTGGCTGTTTCCCCCAATGGTCATCCCACAGGGTGGTGGGAAATGACCACTTCTGTGATAAAACAACCCTTGTAGCTGGGCACCCCTGCTGTCCCTGCCACGCCTGATGGCATGCGGAAGGTGCTTTGGTGATAAAACCACTTCGCAGTGATGCTGTGGATGCGTGCGAAAACCATGTCGCGCCGTTCAGAATCCCTAGGCCCATACCGATACCCCTGCAAAACCCACCAACTCACGAATGTTCATGGTTTCCAGGTGGTGCGAACGGACTTCGCGCATCCGCAGTATGGGTTTGCCCCTTTTTTCAGGAATCGGAAATGCGCATCCGCCAAAATGGATTTCGGCGCTGATTTTGGATTCCCTTTAAAACCAAACAGGGTAGACTCAACAACAAAAGAACCACACCCATATGATTACCAGGCTTGTCTTTGTTTTGGGGTCCAGTCGGCCGAAGCTTGCCCTGGCGTTGCGGCAGATGCCAAGATGCTGGGCGCTGGCGCGGCTCGGGATCCCCAGAGACCGAGGCCCCAGAGGCTTGCGGGTGTTGCAAGGAAGCTGAAAGATGTCCTGTGTCTTGGGATCTGCATCCCCAACAAAACCGAAAGCGGAAGCTCAGTCTCAAAGTCTTCACCATGGAGTTGGGAAAGACGACTGTGCGCAACGATTACGGCGTAGAAGCTTCTACACATAATGCCCTGGAGCAGTTTGAAGTTGGCCCCGGGGCTCTCATTGAGCGAAGCGCATCCTTGAGGTTGATCCTCAGAAACGAAGCTGATGGACAGCTGATGTATAGACCGCACACAACAACATGTTTCATCCACATACCAAGTTGTCAAGAATAGGCAATGCTTGTCTTCCAAAATGCAGGCCCTTTAAAAAAAAAAAAATGAAAGGGAGAGGCTGACCATTCAGGACCCCTGTCTCAGCACTCCCTGAGGCCCCCCACTCCTTCTTCCGTCCCTGGCAGATGGAGACACTGCCATGGACAGAACCTCACCTCTGGCTGGTGACTGGAAGCCTCCATTGTGCTGATTTGCTCGTGGGTAAATGGTCATTGGCTGCTCGTTCGCTCTAACCCGTAAAAAACCCAGCCAGTCAAGCTGCACAGCTGGATTTGCACCGGCTCTGCAATGAAACTCTCTCTGTCTCTCTCTCTCTGTCTCTCTCTCTCTCTCTCTCTCTCTCTCTCTCTCTCTTTCTCTCGCACCCAACACGAGAGAAGGGTGAACCGAGGATGGCAGACGCCCTCTGGGTCCCAGTGCCCTCCCTAAGGATTCACCCCTCGCGGCCTCGGACCACCCCCGGCGCGCCAGGCGTATCCGCGGCACCAAGGCCTCGGCCAAAAAGGGAGAGGTCGCCAGACGTCAAGCCACAGGAGCAAATGGACGCGTTTGGCTGAAACATGGATCTCAACTCAAGCCCAAAGGCAGTCCAAAAGAAAACCAACGAACCATTTTTGACAAAAGGGCCTGTGTTCCGGAAGGACTAGAACTCAACGGCGTTTTCCCACCATTCGAAACGGAAACGTTTAACCATCCGGCTCGCAAACTGGGCATGCTGTAGCCGGGGACTTGCTCCTTGCCTCGAGGTTGGCATTTTCGGGTACCGTTTCGACCACCACTTGACTTGCTGGTGCGATAGGCAGGGAATGAATTTGAACGACCCCTATCAACCATCCAACAGGTGGTTGCCCTTAAGGAAATCGCCAGGTTCATTCCCACATTCCCTGCCCACACCAGCAAGTTCACTCCCGGGGCGCCAGGGCGCCCTGCCTGCGCAGCCTTTGCCTGGCTTTACGTCAAACCTCTCTGCGGCCTTGTTTGGATTGATCTCACGGAGAGGTTTGCCCAACAAAAAACCATCAACCAACGGGCAGTAGCTTTGCGGGTGGCCGATACAGCACCCAAAAAACGGGCCAACCCTCGGCTCCAAGGCGACCTAAACACCTTTCGCCTGAGGGTTTCTACCACGTCCGGCCTTTGTTTTCCCCTCAAAAGGGGAGTTGATCGGTGACGAATCCTCTCGCGCAAGAGGAGTTCGCTCCGAGCTCGCCCCGCCTGTTCCGTGGAGGGAAGCTCCACAAAGCCTCTGACCTGAGCGTCCCGTGCAGCTTGGCAGTGAAGCCCACGTCCTTTTGCGCACACAATCAAGACGCGCATTTCTCCGCAGAGACACGGACACAGACACGGACACCGAGAGAGAGAGAGAGAGAGAGAGAGAGAAAGACTGGGAGACAGAGACAGACACAGAACACACACACACAGCATAACCACAGCATAACCACAGCACAACACACACACACACACACAGGTGAAGTACTTTCCGACCCACTTGTGAAATCACCATATTGTGCCTGATGTTTGTTTTTTTTCTGTGATCTCCTTCCCCCCCCCCTGCAGTGCTCAAAACCCGCTGACATGTTGGATCTACGAAAATTGCATCATCATCATATTCGGTTTGTCAATGTGTCAACCCAGATGGGGCCTCTTCTTCAAAGATTGCGAATGGCACGAGTGAGTACTAGTCGTGACTGCAAGCTCAAACACGAACACGATCAACATTTGGGTCAATTTCAAGCTTTATTCTTCAACGAGCTCCTGAGCCTCTCCCGCTCCTCGCAACCACCTCAAAAAAGAAACTAAGGGAGAAAAAAACAACCCTGATAGAACATCCAAAGTGAGCTGCCGCTCGTTTGTTTGTGGTGTTCTTCAAATTCATCTTACTTGTCATCAAGGTTTACAGATCTGCACATTTTACTATCATTCCAAAACCTGAATTAACGAATCCCCCAGCAAAGGACCGTTATACCCCCCGGGTGAACTCGCAATAAAATGTGCAGAAAGACTCATGCTTGGTCCCAAGCAAAACGCTCCACCAGGTCGATTTGCTTCTTCCTGCAGCATGGCTCTCGAAGAGCGAGGGAGGCAAGCCAGACACATTTGCAATTCCAATTTGGCTGTAGCCTTCCAAACTGCCAATGGGAACTTGGGAATTTGCGCGGATCCAGAAGTTGTGGGCCTATTGGGGGCGCACAAGTTGAAAGGCCGCCGAAATTGTCGATTTCGACTGAAACAAGATGTTCCTTGAAACAGGGTGTGTGCTCTTGGAAGGAAAACTAGAAGGCAAACCTCGAGCTTTTAAGGCAAACTGTGCATGCCCCGAAGTTTTAAACCCGGGAGCCGAAATCCCAGATGATTTTGGGGGGTATCCTCTTTACTTGTGGCGAAACACGAGCCTTGGACCACCAGTCAGCCGACGCTCACAAGTCATGACTCGGATGTTCATCGCACCTGCTGATGAGGTAGAAGTCCCGCGCCAGCCTCGCTTTGGCATCGCTTTGGAGAGACGATTAGCGGATAGCTTTTGATCTTTGGCTCTTGGGGTTCCAAAATGGCACGGCCAAGAGCGAAAGAAATGAGTGCATGTCAGCCATGCCAAGCATAAACAGGTCAAAGAAACCACCGAGTTTGTCCCATGGACGCCTCCTGCCACGCAAGCGATTGCAGCTTCAAGAACTGCAGCGAACACTGGGCTTCGAATCTGTGGCTCCGACGTGAAGAGCAGCGAATCCTCATCGTGAAGACCTGAGCATAGATACAAGTGTGAATTTTGATGGGGGACCCTTTGGTGGACATCAAACGCTTGGGATTCATGTCCGCTAGTCACTTTTGAGGTGGTTCCCTATTTAGATTCATAGCCATATCTCACGCCGTTTGCCACGCGGCAAGGACCTCGTAGAATGATCCCAGCGTGCTCCCCATTCTCATTAAAGCCCGCAAAGGAGAACCCCAAGTCAAAAAACGCAACAAACCGACATCGCCCACTGTCAAAATCCAACTTGTGGCATCCTTTTTGGACACCTTCTTCTTGGCGGGACTCCCAACAAGGCCCTCTTGGCAACCAATTGAAAGTCCCTGCCTGCGGCAGACAGCAGTCGGCGTGCAAGCTCCTTGCCGTTTGACCGAACCCACAGCCACATCTACACGCGGATACCTGCAAAAAATCAAAGCGCAGTCGGTGATTTGGATGCGCGATTGGTGGATTAAATGGGCCGACCCAATATGCAAAGGGCTTGATGAGCGAGGGAGGGCAGGATGGCCCTAGTTGGTGGCCATTGGAGATAACAATAAAACTGGCCAAAAGAAAAGATTGACGTCCCGATCAAACTGCCTCGCCCGGCCTCGTCTTTGCACTGCAAGAGGCTTTCCTCGGCTCGCTCGGAGAGACTTCTCAACGGCTAAACTTCGGCGGTGTATGGCAACGTGCCTGTTCCTCCTTACAAATTACTACAGGCAGCTGAGTGAAGACGCCGTTCTGAGAATTCGCCCGAAGCACCACGTGCTGTGGCATAAAGAGAATGTTCGTTGCGGCTGACACCGTGGAAAGCGCTTTGCCCCTCAGCATCTTGGGGTCTCACATCCTGGAGCTTGAAAGAAGGGTGGCGTTCACCGAACCAACATGCCCAAGGCGGGTTTGAGATCAGCTCACGCTTCAACAAGTGCAAGTTGAGTCTGCCAATGAAACTTCTGGGCATTCTCACAAAGCCGCGTGCTGTCTTAGCTTTTGACAAGTGCAGACACCAGCTCGGGCCATAGAAAAACTGGCGGTGAAATCAGGGCGAGTTTGAGTTCAGGCCAGAGAACGGCCAACCAGCTAAACCATCAGTGTCAGACTAAAGTCATGTGGAGAGCGAACAAAATCTGGATCTGTATTCACACGCGCCGAATAGGGTGTCCTGCAGAGCTCGCATACCTATTGTATTGTTGGCGCACACACCGCCCCCGCATGTCGACCAGAAACAACTGGAGTCTTCGTAGTGGCTGCTGTGCAGCAGGTAAGAACATTGAAGCAGGAATTTCCGTTTCACATTGATGGGCAAACAAAGCGAGACTCCAACATGTTGGGCCTACATCCCGGGTTGGCCGTTTCGCTGCAAAAAGGCTTGACCTTTTGCTAGTTGCTGGGCAAACAGAATCCGTTGAACCACTGTTCAACAGCTCAAACACTGATATCAGCTTAGCTGAAAAAGCAAACAGACCCGTTTGATCCGAACCCAAAGTTTTGTCCATCCGAGTCGAATACGACGTGACTCTTCACTCTGCCAAGACGGTGTGACTCTCCCGAGGGCTGTGAAGGAATGGTCATTCATCCATACCTGCCGAACATGAATGCTCCGGAAACATGCACGAGCCTGCCGGTTTTCAGCCTCTGCCAGCGATCTGCCATCTTGAAAAACGCCAAAAAAGGATCTCGATGGATCTCAAAAAAAAAAAAAAAACGCCACTTGGCGACATGGTCTGGTGGCCAAAATTCGTCGATCCCCTGGCCCGGGGCTCAAAATGAGCCGTCATTAGGCCGGGGACGGGTTTGAAGGTTCGGAAGGGACCGTCCCTGTGTAGTTCTTTAAATTGGATGGGTTTGGGTAGCCCATGTTTTTACATAGATTTAAAAAAAAAAGTTGGTATTTACCGTGTTTTGGCAAAGCATAGGGAAACAAAAAAGAGGGAAAAAACAAAAACAAAAAACAAAAAAACACTACACCCCTGCAAGCACCCCGGTTGGTTTTCATACCCATCGGCTTTCATTTTCGACCCGCTTGCAACCTTCGGAGCCGGCGGCCGAGCCCCCGGCTGCGGTGTCTTTGGCTTGCTTCGCCCGGAGGGCCTGGCCAAGAGAGCGACCTCCCTCCGGAGGTGTTCACGGTCCTGGAGCCCAGCAAGAACACCCAGGAAGCTGGGGCAAAACATCAGAAAAGTGAGTCCTCCCGCAAAAAAGATCGACCTCGAGCCAGCCAAAGTGAGAACTTCTGGAGAAATGGAATTTGTGATCCTTGAGGGGGCGAAGGACTGAGGCTCCAGGCTGCATGTTGTCATGAGGTTTCGGTTTTTGTCGGGTTGAGGGTGAGGTATTTTGTGTGTGTGATAGAAGATGGTTGGTTTGGTGGGCCATCTGCTAAGAGTACTCCATGTGGTGTTTGCCGACTGGTAATCTTCTCGCATACAGAGCCCTATCAAATCATGTGAATTGTGTGCATCCCGTGAGTACCCTGAACCCTCTACGCTCTGTGACTTGGTGAATTGGGTAGTAGTTTCTTATGGTGTCAAAAGACGTTTTAAAACATGAAGAATGATAATCGGAAAACAGTCACATAAAGTTGAATAGAATACATACATATATATATATATACATATGATGTACAAAAGGGAAAGAAACAAAGAAAGATGGAAGATAACAAGATAGAAATATAGAAGGATTGAAAGAAACAAAGAAGGATATAAATATTGCAAGATAGAAACATAGAAAGATAAAAAGAAACAAATAAAGAAAGACATAATGGACATATGTGGAGTAAGAACTAAAACACTATATCAAAGTAATAATAATAATAATAATACTAATGGATCATCCGAACATGACAAAAAACGAACATGCATCAAGATCAAAAAGGTTCTTCGATGACCTTCATTCACCAAAAAAAAAGAACAATAAAAATATAGAAAGAAAGGAAGGAAGGAAGCAAGGAAGGAAGGAAGGAAGCAAGCAAGCAAGCAAGAAAGAAAGAAAGAAAGAAAGAAAGATCTTGCTTAAAGCAAAAAGACCTAGACAAGTAAATAAATACAAAAAGGAAGATAGAAATGCAAAATGGAAATGCAAAAATAATTGTTCGATAAAACAAAAGCGAACTAATTAAGTAAATGCATAAACAATGTATACATGTATATATATATATATATATATCATTGAAACAAACAACAAGATAGATAGAATGCTAAATAAATATCAAAAACTGATGGGATAAATAAATGAGTTCGTGAGTCAATCGATAAACAGCAAACAAACAAACAAACAAGCGAGAAGATAATTACATAAATAAGTAGTCAACAAAAACATGTGTATTTATAATAATCAAACTGACAAATAGTGTGTTAAACGAGAAAAACACACATGAATAGTCCATAAATCAAGTGCGGCTGTTGTGGCCGGAAGGCAAAAGACATGATTGAGTTGAGGCACAGAAAAAGAGATGATCCGCCAGGAAAACACCTCGCCAAAAACCCTGCACTGGGAGAACACGGGAAAAAAGGAAGAAGAAAAACTTAAACAGGCATCAGCTTCCTGACCTGTTTGCAACAAACCCCTGCCAATCGCTGGAACCCACCTCCCCGGAACCTCCCCGCAAGCTCCTCCCAGCGCTTCCCCCGAGGCGCCTCGGTGAGGTCTCCCCGCGCCAGCGAGCGCCGGGCCGCGTGGCCCAGCTGCTGGGCGCTGAGGGCGCCCAGACCTTTGGAGTGGAGGTGCTGGGGGGAGCCGGGGGGGGGGGGGAGAGGAGGGCTGTCTCGGGTTGGAAGGTTGGGTTGGGGGTTGGGGGCCGGGGCAGCTGTTGACTCAAAATAAGGGATTGGTTTCCCTGCGGTTTTCTGATAGATGCTAAAATGCCCCTTTTTGGGTGTCTGAAAGGGAAACATCGGGAAACATCTGTTGATGGCTACCGACTTTGTTTGGTGTTTGTTGAAGGAAAAGGGGACTCGACCATTTTAGGGGCCTCCCCCATTGGGAGACAAACCCAAATTATGCTTTCAACGCTTGTCTTAACTTGTTCACGTGATACATACTACAGTGCCAAAATGGAACAAGTATGGACTATGCAAACATGCCAGTTGAAAGTGTGAGGTGTCTGACAAAACCTTACAGCGAAGCTGGCATGATCTTAGCAGCTTCAACATAATGCGGCGAGAATGTCAAAGTAGTAGACACTAGCAATGTTCGGACACAATCAATATGGAAAACAAACACAGAAGCGAGATTGGTTGCTGGGCCACAGAAATTCCCAGGCAGTCGCAGGCAAACGCTTGTCAAACAATGAGAAATCCTGGCCATGCTCAAGTCACCGTAAGCCGAGGCTTACCAGTGCGCCACTTGTTCTGCATCCGGAAGTCGCACACACAAAATCCGGCGCCCCCCCATCAGCAAAAGCACGAAAGCCGCGACGGCCCGACGGCGTGCCCGACACTCCTTGTTCAAGCATCCGCATGCTGAAAGAGATCAAGATGCGGTATGCGCCATTTTCAGGCAGCAGAACCGCCATCGCTGCTGACTCTCGAACTCGAACTCAGGCTGCAGCCAAATAGTTGGAATCGGATGCGAAGCGTAAGCTTAGCCACACGCCTTGCTGATCCCTGTGGGATTTGTTCCCAGCAGGGTCTCGCAGAGCGAGTAGCTTGGCGTTCCGCTCTTCAAACTTGCAGCCATCCCCACTCTCCATAGGGATTCGTTCCCGAACATGGCTCAATTCTACCCTGGGAACAGAAGGGGGATGAAAACGCAAATGGATTGACGGAATCGAAACCAGCCACTCGCAAAACGCCAGAGGTGCCAAAAAACACGTGGCATGCAAAACGCCATGCGCGCCAGTCTCTGTGTCAAACCCCCACGCTCTGTGGCAGGAGCTCACCGGCACAGCGCATTCCAACCAGCGAAGATGCCTCCCCAAATGCGACGTGTTCTGCCCTCCGCAGGATGCAACCAAATCCAAAAGTCTGCCGCATCTCGGCATGTGGGGGCGTCTTTTTTAGGTTGGACCCCCCACAACCACATCCGGCGCAAAAGTCTGCCGCATCTCGGTACGTGTTGGGTGTCTTTGTTTAGGTCGGACCCTCCCCCACCCCCCCCCAAATGGCGCAAGTCTTGTCCTGGTGTCTGTTTAAATCCACCAGAAAGAGGTAAACCCACACCCCGCACCTAGCCTTCCCTGCTGGGAATTTGTCCTTCTCTCTCATGCCAGGACCTTCGCCCTCCAGCTGAAGAACCGGCGCACCTTCTGCCTCAGAAGAGGGGCGCGGCCCTTTTGGGTTCAGACTTTATCTAAGATCTGGATACATCTTTTGTTAGGGGACCCCTAATCTCAAGCCACCAAAAAGGGGAAAACCAACTCAAAAAGAGACAGGCCCATATGTTGATCTATATTCCGTTCGCCCAGATGACCACGGGTAACTTTCCAAATTTCAGGAAAGGTCCAATCCTTTTTCGTGGAAATTCCAAGCAATGGATTTCCATCCCATGTATCACGGACAGGCGGCTTCGCGGCTGGATCGCCGACTGCTTCGCTGCGAAGAAGATGGCCCCACGATGCTGGCCACCCCTTCCGACGCCTGAGCGACTGCTGGTGCTCGCCTGAAGGGGTCCGCAAAAAGGGCTCCGTGTTTTGTGCAAAAAAGACAGGGCTTGCTATGGCACCCGCAAAAGAATGAGATAGAAACTTACCTGGAAACTTACTCACTGATGTTTGATATCAGTTCTGAATGGCTACGAATGGGGACCTCTGAGGGAGCAAGCATAGTGAGGGAACGAAGCTTGCCAGCCAAGCGGGCAAGCTTCCTGTCAATGTGTTCCGGCTTCCCCGGCCAGAAATTGGGCACCAAAGGGACTTCCAAAAAAAGTTGTTCCTGATGGATCCCGTGAAGTGGACCCGGGATCTTCCCCAAAAAAAGCAGACCTGGTCTTCTAATGAATCTGAATCATGGCTTCATCACGGTGAATGATGGATTTCGAGACAACCGGGTGAGGCCACAACTGGGGCCCAGAAACCATACTGAAATCTGGCAGTGAGTTTGTAAAGATGTCATATCCTACTTCCTGGGATCCAAAATTAGTGTGCCCCCATCACACGAGCCACTGAATATCAATCAGCACCGCCCTCTGAATGACAGTCAGTTTGACGAAAATGCAATCTACACAGGAGCAAGGCCAATACTCTCCGACTGCAAGCTGGAGTAGCTGTCCCCCTGCCCTCCCAGTTACTAGCTCGATGGACGCATCAAAGGCACATCTCAAAGGAGCCAAACCAGAAGGCCTCACAGACCTAGAGAGAGAGAGAGAGAGGGGCGAAAGTGGCCACCACAGCACCACGCTCTGGGTGGCAAGCCCAAAGTGACTGACAAAATCGCTGAGGTACTTTGATGGAAAAACGCTAAAAAACACGAAATGCCGGGTTCCTCTGAGAGGGGGGGGGAAGGGGGCAAGTCGAATCAAGGATTCCAATAGGATTAAAAGAAAAAGTGATACTAATCGTGGTTGACTAAACTGTACGAGGGCTTACACATATGGCTCGTCTGGACATGTTGAAAGCCACTGATTCTGTGTTGTGTAAACTTATCGGCCCCAGAGTGTCCTGCCCAAACCAAAAATGGATTAATGGTCTTATTGGCCGTTGCTCACATGGCCATCCGTACCCCCAGTGAACATCCCAATCCCCACTAAAATAGACTAAAATTGGTGGTGCACCTATCCCAAAATGGTACCATTAGTTTTGAACCATGGCCACATGAACAAAACGTCGTCCCTATCGAAGCTTGCTCACCACTGGTCACAGCAACTTCGCCATGTCCATTCTTCCGGTCGTGTGGGGCAAGGCGAGCCCTCAATGGCAACAAGTCTCCGCTGCGACTACACCGACAAGAAAAGGCCCCCACGCAGAAATGTGCACAAAAATGATCTTTGGCAGAGCCTTCACCACAAAGCAAGGCGAAACCTAAGCCAAGGTCTCCAGCGCGATCCGTTCTGCAGTCGCATGGCTGTTGCCCCAAAAACCCTCCCAATGGTCGGCGAGGCTTCAGTCCTACTGAAGAAATCCCCAAAAACGAAATGCATGCCCCCTAGCACCCAGCCGTCAATCTCGAAAATAACTTTCCCTTCTTTAGAAGTTGGGACCCCTATAGCTCTCAGCTATCTGGGGAATGATGTATTGCCCTGGATGCGATGCTCAAAAGGCGACAAATCGCCTCTCTCCTCCAATTCGGAACCTAGACCGAGTTGCTTGCTCTTTGACCGCCACACAAATTTCTGGATGCTGGCAGTTCACCTTTTGCCTCTGGTCAGCTTCCTTCGAGTTGTTTGTACAAAAGCCAGGGGTTCCAACCACCAATCCAAACCACCAACTATGGGTTATCTGATCTGGTTGAAAGGTCAAACACTCACTTTGCCTTCCCCGCCCTGAGAGGGTGGTTCTGACTTTAAGGTTCGTTTCTCTTTGCCTTTAGGACCTAAGGAGTTGAAATCAAGCCCGGCCAAAGCAAGTATAAGCATGCTAAGGAGTGCCCGCTTCGCCTCAACGCCCACAAGTGGACACTTTTGCATTTACCTTCCCGTTCGCACGAAGCAAAAAAAAAAAACTCCATGTGTTCATGGTCCCCATCTTCTTCCGGCAAGCGGTCAAGGGTTCAGCCTTGGCCAGCGGTTGCCAAGTGGGCAAGGCTGCGAATCAAAGCATCTCTTCAAGCAGAGTGCGTTTCTGGCGAGAGTGCTGGCAATAGAAAGCCTTTCTGTTCTTGATTAGAGGAAAGTCTCTGAAGCCCCGGGGAAGAGCTCTCAGCCCGGAAAATGCAGCGAGGCCGCTGAAAGGTCTCGAAGCGTGTGGCAGAAACTAAGCCGGGAGACACCTGGCGCAAGATGGAGATCATGCAGCTTCGGTGCAAAGCTCAAGGCCGTGAAAGTTCAAGGTTTTACCATCCCACCATTTTCACATGGAACCTGACAGGGGGATTCTGGAAGACCATGTTCCTTTCAAAGGGGCCCCGGAACGTCAGGTTCCATGTTCAATGGTGGGAGGGTAAGCTCCAACGACTTACGACATGGATCTGTTCAAGCGTCTGCTTTGAGGTGTTGCTTGGCCAAAACTGACAACAACACAGCGCTAACGCTGCGAGCGTGCATAAATAATCCATCTCTTTGTCGCTACAGTGGGTTAATCTCTGAGACTCACCAATAAAACCAAGAACTCTTCTCTCTTCCCCATCCATCACTTCACTCCAATAATAAAAGATGAAGTGACATGATGTCTTTATCTCTTTCCCTTTGTCACCTATTAATCTCTGAGACGCAAGGAAGATGTGCATAATGGTAAAGATACTATCATCTCCATTCTCTTAACTAATCTCAACAAATGAAAAGGAGATGATAGTAAATAATAAATTCATACGTCTTTCCTCTTTTATCTATTATACATATCCTTTTCATATTTTATTTCATTTTGGTTTTATGGTTAACACCCCCAAAATGAATTATAAAATGATGAAGGAAGAGATGAAAGATGAGGTGAAAGGTGACAATAAGACCCTGAGCACCTTTCCCTTTCATTCATTCCTTTCACTCACTGATTCGTTATTTTGTTTGTATTTGTGGCTTTCCATCATTGGCAGTTGTTACGGAAAGGATCATGACGCATGTTCAAGCACTTTTACTATTGGTGAGGAAATAACCCGGATAACCAGGAAGAAATCGGAGAGG